AGCGCCACAAAGATGAAATGCAGCTTCCTCATTGGTCAGATTTGAGTAAATGGAAGCAGTCGCCATTTGTCCTCCTAAGTCACACCACGCATCAGTTATGCCAGTTCACATCTTTTGCTTTTAATGTGCACTTTGAACATGGCATTGTTGGCCCTGATATGTTTTATTCTGTTAATGTGTCCATAGGAGCTGTACAAGCTTACATGTCTTGCCTAAGGATACTGGGGTGAATGTTATTAAGGGGAACGCTCAAGTTTTAACACAATTGTTTTCTTTTGTGTTCATTTGTTTCTTCAGTGCTCCCTAGATTACACCACTTCTGAAACAATTACACTTGCTACCGGTTGTTTATCATATTCAGTGGAAGATCTTACTCTCAACCTTTAAAGCATTACATTGCTTGGCTCCCACATACTTGACTGCCCTGGTCTCCTACTACATTCCACCAAGGATGTTGCTTTCTTCATCTGCTGCACTCCTAGGCTGGTCACTGTGGGCGTTTGTCTGCACTGCCCTTATGCTCTGGAACAAACTCCCTGATAATTTAAGGATCATGCGCTCACTTGAGGACTTCAAAGGTGTTTTAAAGACTTATCTTTTTCAATCTGTTTTGAATTGTTGAGATTTGTAGAGCAGTTGTCTCCCAACCAGAGGGCCGGAGGCTTGAATCTCAGTGCCTCCAGTCCACACGTCAAAGTGTCCTTGGGCAAGACACTGAACCCCAAAGTTGCCCCTGATGGTTAGAGCCATCGGTTGAGTTGGCGCCGCAGATGGCTGCCTCGGTTCTGTACCGGAAGCAAATTCCTTGTGTGTAACATACTTGGCCAAATAAAGGTGATTATTATTTCTCACTGGTTGCTTGCTAATGATGTTTCAGCTATTTGTTTATGATTGAATGTGGTCTATAGTTGTTCATTTATGTTATTACTAATTGTTGTTTTAATAATTTATTGAAATTAGCAATATTGTACTGTATTGTAAAGTGACCTTGGGTGTCCAGAAAGGACCTTGAAATAAAATGATAAATGTTATATAAACAAGCAAATGATCATTATTTGATTAGCACTGGACAGTTTTGTGACAGCATCAGCTAAAGCCAGCAAAACAAAACAAACAAACAAAAAATAAAAAGAAAAAACAATAATTTTGTAGATGTCATATGTTTAGGTACTGTATATATACATACAGGACTCTTTTTTTATAAAATAAAAAGCCTTTTGCTTGTTTGCACATTACTTCTTTCCTTTCTGTTCTCTCATCCTTACATTGTTTACTTGCCCACTGCTGCCTTACATAAGGTCAGGTACAGTACATACACATTGAGAGCTGCTGTACCAGAGACAAATTCCTCGTGTGTCCAACACACCTGGCCAATAAAGCTGATTCTGAGCCAGTCAGAGAGCTCGGTTCTTTGCCTGAAAACAAGAACAATTCATTACTCTCACAACAGAGCTGCCAACACACACACTTCCTCCAGCTGATTGTTTGTAGATTCAGACCAGTGCATTGGATGTTGCATATTCTTGTTCATCTTCTTCTCCTGTGATCAGTGGTTCTGCTGTGTCTTAGTGGACGCGTGATCTCAGAAAGCTCTGACCCAGATATTTTAATTGCTGATTCTCACTTATGTGAGTCTCTATGATTGAGTCGGCTTTCCTTGTGGAACCCAACACATCACGCTAGGCTTCTGAACCTGTGTGTGTGTTTGTACATTCAGGAAGAAAACGTTCCACTCTGTAATGAGGAAGCTGTTGTGTGTTTGATTTTTAAAGACAACTCCCGCCCTTTGTGGGTGGACCGGCTTCTCAGTAACAGGTCATTCTGGAAGTGAAGAGGCAGAATATGATCTTCTCACTCCGATATCTGTGCTGCCTCTGACTAATGAGACAAATTTGTACTGAAGCTGTTTGAAAATATACTTCTTATATTGTTATTTATTTTTATTTTCATCTATTTGACCTTTTTCTAACCAGGATGCTTCTATCGAGGGGGTCCTGGCTGAAATGGCAGCACGATTTAAACCCTACAGACCAGCAAAGGACCAGCTCACACAGAGAATATAAATTATTAAAGGGTACACCATTTACTGAAAAGGCAAAAACTAAACAACAAAACAGCACGCAAGGAACAACGGAACAAACCAAATTCAGACTGTAAAATGCTCTTGACTTTGGGTTTAAATTCATTTAGAGTGACTAATGTCTGTAATTTCAGGGCTTTTGTGGTTCATTCTGAGCAGATGGAGCTGCCCACATGAAGGTTTCTCTTCCTGAGCTCAGTATGAACCAATGGTACACACAGTCCTGAAAGCAACAGGCTGCAGTCTGACTTTGACGACATGAGAAAATAGAGACAACCGGCACACTTTCTTCTATAAAACCACAGTAATGTTGTAATTATGGTCTGTGATAAACATTAAGGCCCTGTGGTGACCAGAAACCAACACACAGTGAAGTGACATCTGAATGCAGAACACCTTGTAATCTATACATTACTGAGAGAAGGTGGGTTTGTTTCCTTCTCAGGGACTAAAGTTCAAAAGCATTTTATCCAGTACTCAGTCCACTTAGGATCGTGATATTTCTACATCAATAAAGATACATTATACCTGTTCAATTTGGCAACAGCTGTTTTTACCGGTAGTAAAAAAGAGCAGTCATAAAAGTTAAATGGTTCTGTATTAGCCACCAGGGTCAGAAGATGTTCCTGTCAAAAATGCATCAACTACAGTGGTCGGTCTGTTTTAGAGACTCTACATATGAGCTGGAAGGGGAGGGTCACATGACCAAATTTTTGAGCTAGCTTCATCTTATACTAGGGCTGCCACCTTTCTAAAGTCAAACAAATATTAACCTGTAATCTGTTTGGATTAATTCAAACACAGCCAAACCAACAGCTCTCTGCTTCCAGTGATGTCTGTCGGCAAAGTCTTAACAACAGTCAGCTGTGGCTGAAAACGAGAAGCTTTCTACTCAAATGTTGTGATCAACAAATTGTTGCAGGGTTCATGCTTTTAATTCCAGAGATGTGTTAGGTGCATATGGCCAAAAACAGCATGTTACATATATGAGAAAAATGTCCGCACTGACAGAACAACAAAGAAGCTCTTAAGATGCCAACAAAGTAAATTTATTACATTCACAAGTGATTTAAAAACTCATGTGTGTCTGACTAAAGAGCATCATAAGCACAGCTTACACAGCTGGTGCTTCTACAGACATAAATAGACAGTAAGGACCAATCAGGACAAAGGAGGCCAAGGTGTTTCACATGAACTCATTAGACACTAAGGTCTGATTACACAAACCTGTATGAAGGGCAGCAATTAACACTGATACACTGGTACACTGGTACATAAGCTGTAGAGCCAATGCACACCCACACATTCAAATCAATGCACACACAGATACAATAGATCTAAAAAAAGTGATCAAAAGCAAAAGAATAAGCCGTTACAAAAAACACGTTAAAGATAACTCCTCATTATGACCTTCTGGATGTCCTATTCTCATCTGGATTGTGATCTACATGTAAGTAGTTTTTGATCAGTGTTACCACCTGGTTTCACAATCTGTTGCGTAGTACAGAGTGACAATGTCGGGACTGAACGGCCGGCGTCTGGAAAGCGTCTCGTGACAGGTGACTTCAGGTCATTTTTGCCTAGGGCACTTTTATGCTTCAGGATGCATTTAAACAGATTTACCTGATTTCCCAATATACTGAAATCCACATGGACATGAAAGGAAGTAAACGACACCCACTGATGTGCAGCTGAGACACTGTCCAAGGTTATAAACTTTACCTGTGTTGTGGCTTGTAAATGAATTTGTTTTCCTAGAATTCCCAGATTTCTGTGGGTGGAGATGGAGGGATGAGAGGAATATTTGGCATCTGAAGAGCCTCTTTGTTGTTTTGTCAGTGGGGGTGCATGTTTTTCACATGTGGGACCCAAATGTTTTGTACATAAAATAAGTTAAAAGATTCCTCAAACTTGGACTTTTGGGCAATTTTATTTCATGCACAAAACAGACTAAGTTCCGAACCCAGCTCTTCCCAGCTTTCTTCAGCGTTTTAGCTCTGCGTTTGCAGAAATACTCTTTAAACTGATTTTGTACCATAAATACTGTAGTATACACACACACAGTCTAGATGCATTTAACGGATCTATATGTTCAAGGTATAGTTACAGGTGTTGCACTGCAGGTTATTGTCCAGTCATTCTGTCGTGGGTTAAGTGTTCATCAGAGCGACAGCCTGGGGGAAGAAACTGTCCCTGTGCCTGGTTGTTGTTAGGTTATTTCTTAGTTAGATAGATATTCAGAGATTTGATGTCTAGAAATGTTTAGTGGAGACAGGATGTCTAGCTCAGGCTGTTAACTGCTCAGTTTAATTTCATGTTCTTGCAGACTGCATCTAGGCCAAGGCTAATTAAATCATACAAAGGCTACAGGCAAGGAGAGTTGTTAGTATTAACTGTAATGCTAATCTTAATATTTGTCTTAATGTGTAATGTCATGTCAAATTGTTCTAGATACACACCACAAATCAACAGCCACACACCTTGACTTTTCCTCATGTTTTGACTATCATTATGGTCAGCTGCAAGCTGGCATATCAGGTGACGTCACGGTTTGATGTGCCTGCGTAGTATGGGGTTAGCCCAAAATGATTAAATTATATAGGTTTCTTGGTCCAGGGTGTTTCATCTTTCCAAGCTGCCTGCGTGCAGGTTTGGTGGTGGGAGAGATCTGGACGTGTGATGTTAATTTTACCTGTGATCCTCTGAATAAACCAGTACGGTTATTTTTTTATAAAATCTAAAGTGGTCTACTTCGTCTTTTTGTGAGTTCCTGGTTTAAAAGAACCAGAAGGAGCTTTGTACATAAAACAGAGCTTTTATTGTCTTGGTGCACAGTGACCTGTAACGCCGTCCAGAGGGGAGGAGTTTGAACAGATTGTGTCCTGGGTGTAAGGGGTCAGCAGTGATCCTCTCTGCCCTCATTTTGACCTATGAGGTGTACTTCTTCTTGAAGTCCACTGTCATCTCCACTGTTTGGAGCGTGTTCATCTCCAGGTTGTTGTGACTACATCAGGCATTGGACGGCGCCCTGTGCATGAGGTCGTCTGACAGGTACACTCCCACTGACACCAGATTTATTTATGGAGGTTTTTGAATGGCTGAGTATTTTACTGCCCTGGGCAGATGTCAGTGAACTTCATCTAGCTGATAACAGTTGTTGGGTTGTTTGGTTATGTTGACACTGTCAGTCAAATTAAGTCCCAATGAAACATGTTAGCTTTGATCATGTAAACCTTAATTAATGATTTTAACTCATGTTAACCTTCCTGTTATGTTCTGGGTCAAATTGACCCAGTGCAAAGTAACAAAAAAAATCTAAAAAAAAAATAGTTAAAAATATTTTATTGGTATGAAACTTCGTCTGCTTGGCGTAATAGGTGTGATCAACATATAAAATGAAAATGGTTCAATTCACATATTTGCAACATCCCCCTGCATGTTTATATTACAAAGATACTGTTCAGGTCAACATAACAGGAGGGTTAATAATTGCTTATAGATCTTTCATTAAGATTCACATGAGAATGTGGGTAATTGTATGTTACAGGAAGTTGCACAGCAGCTGCAGTGCACAAACAGCAGTCTCCTGTGAGGAAGTCCTGTGTTTTCTGACCCATCCATCCACCCTCAGTCACTTACCGCCCTCCCTTGCATGTGCCATAATTACCACAGTCTCTAGAGGTCACTGGGCTATAATGTATTACTGCTGTAATAAACTGCTGGCACTAATGACATATGGAGTCATTCTTTACAGAACAGTCTCATTAAGCTGCTTCCATGATTATTCCGTGTCACTTATGAGTTGGCAGAGAAACAGACACCAGAACAGCAGCCTGCAGAGCTCCTTCACTTCTGGCTTCAAACCCTGTTCAACCCTTTGCTCTTTTTTCCTACGTGCACTTCTTCAATTAAGCAGTTTTTATTACCACACATTTGGTTTTTATTGTATCTATAGATAATGAATAGATATTGCTGATTTTTTTTAAACAAGCTGACACTCAGAGCTTTCCAGCCAGAGAGAAACAGATGCCAGCCTCCCACAAGCTGAGAGCTGGTAAACAAACCAACCTGACACCACCGGCAAAAACTTCTCATTAAACAATGCAACTTTATCAGCCACCCACAGCTAATGTGAAAATATAAGTGTGATGAGCGGGGATGGGGCAAAGAACAGCAAATCAATGAGGTGAAACAACCAAACAGTAGAAAACAGAAGGGACCAAGTGGAAGAGACTGCACTTTAATAGAAATGGGCTTTACCTGCAAACAGTTCAGGTCTAATTTATGTTGCTATGTGAAGCATAAGAGACACTGAAGGTCAGATACTAGGACACAGATGTGACCCCAGTGGTGACAAAGCGATGGAAAAGAGCTGTAGCTCTTGTTTTTCTACACTGACGGGATCTTAACAATGCACACTGCTGTAAACTGGACTGACAAAGTTCTCAGAGACCAGCTTTGGTTGTAGTTCCACCTCTAAATGTTACAACAGCTCATCCAAATAATTGTTGCATTTTGTCGTCTTGTCTTTATGGCAAGGTAGAGTACAGAATTTTTTAAAATTAATTACTGAAATGAGGTGATATATATCTACAAGAGTTCAACAAAAACAAAACACAGGTGGTTAGTTTAAGCAAACAGGAGAAACAGATTTTTATTTATTACTGCTTTTATCTGAAACAAGCTTTGAACACAGTATTAATCAGTGGAAGGTAAATCCAACACAAAGTATCTCAGTGAGGTGCTGGGCCGCCCACGTCACCAGAACAGCTTCAGTGCACCCTGGCACTGACTCTCCAAGTCTCCGTTGTGAGTGCTGTCTAACACATCGCTCCAAAATCTCCCATATGTGTTCAATTAGGTTGCGTCATTGCAATAAAACTTTCATCAAACCATTTATTGCCCCCTCCTGCCCTGTGAATCCATTACAATGCCCTGTCATCCTGGAAGAGACCACTCATTTCTTCTGTTTTTTTTTTTGTCACTCATCTGTATCATCACCTATGATGAGCAGTTGCTTACAAATCCAGCAGTCACGATTCATGTTATAATTCACTATTGTCTTGTCTCATTGTTTTCACCCTCTCGTTTGAGTCATTGATAGCACAAAGGTTTAGATTCTAGCTGCTTTGGAGACTGTGTGCTTGTTTACACCTTTGCCTTTGTGCCTGCACTGCTGGACTCTGTCGCTGCATCCATCAATCACAGCAATGCTAGTGAGTGAAAGTTTCCGTTCGGTGAGTCAAAGGGAAGCTTAGCAGTCGCTATATATAATCTTAATCTTTATTTTTAGTTTTGAGTTTGTGTTCCAAGAATAGAAATTGTCTCAAAATTTGGCCAAAATTTGGGGACAGATGGATTTTAGGCAAGAAGGAAAAGGAAAGAGATAAAACGATTAACAATTAAGGAGCCATTCCAAGTGTTGTTCTAAAATTGCAAGCAAGTTATCATTAGATTTACTGAAACAAAAAATCACTGAGAGCTGAATATGTTCAGCTCTTTTTTTTTTTTTTCTGAATTAATCCCATATCCCCTGCTTTTTTTTTTTTTTTTTTTTTATCAAAGCCTCCTTGCAGCCACATCTTATCCTTCCAACCATCGTGTTCATGCTCAAACTAAAATGAAACAAATAGGATCTTACAGCTGAAAGTCTGTCTGTCTGTCATGTTATGGAGGAAGGTGACCACAGAATGATGGATGACATCTTATAACATCTGCTGGTGTACCCTTTCAGCTTTTTAGCCTAGAAAGTTTTATCCAGCACTGAGAGCTGATGCTGAGCACCCATATGTCCGAGGCTCTATCTGCTCCCACACATCCCCTCTGTGCTAATAATCCTCTTGCACTTAACGCTGAAAGCTTATGGATTACATGAGGGAGGAGGGACCTTTCTAGGACTAAGACTGGGGGTTTAAAGTTCAGGTCCTTTCCTTGAGCACTCTGTCACTCAGGCTTACACTACACCACAGCCATGCCACGTTCTATGGTGCTTGTAAAAGGTAGACACGGTGCTGTCACGAGCTCTCTGGTCCAACAAATTAATCACGTGTTATTCTCTCAGGATGTACAGGCAATGTATTGATCCTGTGACAAGTGAAAGCCATTAGTGAAATTCTGCATTTCAAAGGCAGGAGATGAAAAGTGGTGAAACTGGAGGATGTGTAGTCTCGGTGTTGGACTGGGCTGATTAAAGGCTTCATCTCCTCAGACAGAGCCAAGAATCAAAAGAATAGAGAGCCCATTGTCTCCCAGCAGAACTGTCTGCTGCTGAAGGTTACTACGGGATGGATGAAAGTGGTGTGACTGAAAAGCAAAATGAAATATCTAATGGGTACCTCGGCAACAACTTGGCAGTTAGTGAATCATCTGATGCAAAGAGAGCTGTTTTTTGGAAAGAGGGAGATAACAGCATCACAGCAGTTGATTATTTTGATATGCACCACCATGAGAGCACAGTTTTCACTTCCACACAAAAATATTAAAGTCCAATGTACAGATATTTCAGTTCTCCTTTGATGCACACATTTACACCACCCACATGAGGAACCATTTTGAACCTGGACCTTTATGTCACCTAACATTACAGGTGAACATTTTGCATCATCAGAGGTATCCATTACAGGCTGCAATGGTTAATAATGGCAATAATATTTTTTAAAGTGTATTTTTTTAAGTGGCATTTATGATACAAGAAGAAGAATTTAATTAATTCATTAACAAACTCAGTTTGCTGTTATCGGCTTCTCTAAATGTAGCCGCAGCTTTGTTGCCTTGCTAAAGTGCTTTTGTACTCAAGCGCAGTTATTACCTTATTGTTAGATTGTCAGTTCATCTAGGATCTTGCAGTTGCAATGATGAAAAAAAAATCTCAAATATGAAGTCCTTTAATGTTCATCTTGAAATAAATTACAGTCAATTGTGGAGCTGAGACGCTGAGTTCCAGGCAGAGACAGTGAATGTTTTGTGATCACTGCGTCTTTTATTTGGATTTGAATGTGGTTTTGAATTGCTTTGTTTTTTGAAAACTGAAAAGTAAACCTGAAATAACTGGTCTAAATGTAACCATTTACAATTGAAACACTGTGGACACAACTAAATGTAACTTGTTGAACTTGTTCATTTGAAATTTCCTGGGGCGACAGACTAGTTCACCTTCTTCCTTTTCTCTTTTCATGCTGACTTCACCCCACTTCCTCTCATCAGCTCCTTTAATGCTCGAGAATCACCACCTCCCATTATCACCCCCATCCACCCACCATCTCATTTCCTGTCGCATCAGATCATTTCTGCACCTCCCCCAAACATCCCTTGACTTACAGTGTGCTCCATCATCCCCCCATGTCCCATCCCATTCTAGCTTTTATCTCATCATACGTCTTGTGACCTCCTCCTACCACCGACTCCTCCCATCATCTTCTCCCAACTCTCATCCCATCATCCAAGACCTTCTCCTACTCTCATCTTGTCACATCACCTCTTCTCACTCCTGTGACCTTCCCCATCTTCCATCATCTCATCCCATCTCACCTCCTCCTGACCCCTCCTATTTTTTATCCCCACCCACCATCACCTACTCCTGCCACTTACCTCCTATCACTGCCACTCTTCCATCTTGCCATCCATCAATTCCCACTTGTTGGGTTGGATTTGTGCTCAGTAAATGATTTCTTATTAATGATGCTCCTCTGTTGTTTGGTTTAATGACCACCATTTGATGTACATCCACAGATTTTTCTACAGTATTTACAGTATTCAGGTGTTATCTCTTCCAACCTTGGTGCTGCTGTATTTCGAAGGCACCAGTGCTATATGTGGAGGTGAGACGTGTCAGCTGTGGGTGGAGCAGTGGGCGGGCTTTATTAAGACAGAGGAGGCATGAATCCATCTGCCAGATAGACCTCGAACGGCTCTTTTAATAGCTCCATCATCAGACGCTGCCAGCAGCTCTAATTGGCAGAACGTGGGAGTTGATAGCGTTAAAATGGCTGCCGTGCTGTTCACCTCTATGACTGCAGCCTGTCAGTTACATGGGAGGCTAAGTGAACATGGACGAGAGAGGCAGAGGGAGTGGGAGGGAGAGAGAGAGAAGCGCTGGGTTGAAGAGGTGTAGAGTTGGACATGGAGAGAGCTTTATTTTCTCTGTTTATTGGATTCACATCTTTTCTCTTATTGCTTTTAACCAGAGCTGGGAATTACAATATAATACAACACTGCCAATACACCAGTGGAACCAATCTAGTACCAATTAGTGTAGTAATTAATGATTAAATTTGTTAATCATTAGCTAATTATTTAGTATTTATGTCAGTTCCGTTCCCAGGTTCCCCTAGGATCCAGTGTGAACACTTTTTTCTAAATGAAAAACAACAACACAAAAGCACACAAGTTCAGTTTGCTATACAAGGTGCCAGTCCTCATATCTGAATAGCTGAAACCATCTGATGTCTGTTGATGTTTTCTTAATAAAATTGTTACTGAAAATCTTAATAAATGGATTTTATTTCAGTTGTAATGGACGGCAAACACAAGAAAGTGGCAGACTGACATTCGTGTGCGTCTGCTTTACAAACACAGAACCTACAGTAGGATGAGTTTTACTCAGTATGACATGTTTTTGGAGGTTCCCCCTTTACAGACACTTGCAGAGGATTCACCGTGACTGCAGAATCCAGCTTCCTGCTGGAGGACGGACATAAATATATCAACTTTGCAGACACT